AATACCATGATAAGAAATTAGATAAGGCAATTATTACTTATCACTCTCATTCAAAAGTATAAGTCATTTTCATGGAAAAAGTTACACAACTCCAAATTATNATAAGGCAATTATTACTTATCACTCTCATTCAAAAGAATATTGAAAAGATAGCGTTTTCTTCTGTCCTTTTCTCAATACGTATTTCAATGTTTAATACCGTAAAATAATACATGAAAATTCAAATTTTCACAAACTTCAAAACGCTACAGCATATTTACTACTGAATATTAATAAGATATTTTTTTACTAAAATTTTTCTTAAATTCTACTCCACAAAATGGCTACCTTAGATTTTTTTTTTACATTTTATTAGAATTTAATAATAATTAATATTTTTAATAAAATGTAATAAAATTAATTATTAAGATATAGCTATAGACCTAACGTATAACTATTATTTAAAAAAAAAATCAGCTAAAAATATTAACTAGATCAAAAGTTATTTAAGTTGTCAGTGAGTGGTGGGCCACCCTGTATATAGATTTACATTTTTTATGAATTATCTAAATTAAGCTAAGGTATGTAAATTTATCATATTAATAAAAACATTTTGCCCCAGGCTGAGAATTTTATTTTTTTCTTAATTAATCCATCGTTTTTTTAAGGACTTATAATAATTAAAGGCCATTTTATCAATTGATCTCAGTATTCAAATAGTATTTTTACCAAATTTTCAGTATTATTAAAATACCATAATTTAATAAAATAAACTTCATTGTAATCTTTTAAATTACATTATTCATAATTAATTTTAATTCTAGCAGAATATAAAGACAAATGTGCAAAAATGATTTTAATATAAAAAAATCCTAAATAAGAATAGAGCAAACAATGATGCCATATCATTGAATATAATATTATATTCATCAAGAATAAACAATCATACATTATTTATGCCTACACATATAATTCATCTTTTAACATCTTTTTGAGCCTGTACAAGCAATTAATTCTAAAAACAAATTACCCGAATTATGAAATATACTAATATTTTATCTTATGGAAGACGATACCGGTCGCCCAATTACTCCTCGTGTGTACATGCGTATACAGGGTGATTTTTTTATCATAACCCACTCAATTACTTACAGAATAATAATTGATATACCACCGACTCGAAAACACCTCAATGGTCGGGGTACCCAGTATTTTCGCCTAAGTGGACACGACTTGCTTTTACTTAACTAAAGGAAACAATATTCTTTGACAACACAAATGTAAATTTTATTATGACGAAACAATATTACACAAACTATAGTTAACTGGTTTATATGCAACCTGGTTACTTCAATTTTTCGTAGACCAAGACCAGACACGCTTCTCCACAC